TTTGAAATTGGTTTAGATTATCTAGTCGCGATTTTAGGACATACCATATCTAAGTGATACAAGTACTCGCTACGAAACGGTACAACTGTATAGATTATAACATTAACATGGTCAATATAATATGTGAGAATTATTCTCACATTTAGTTAGTAGAAGGGTAAGGTGTTTCTATTAAACTATTTGAAGTGCGTGACTTTTAGCATTCTTCGAATAAAAATGAGTGACGGACTACTCGTATAATCATGTGTACTGCGTTGACAAAACACTCAAGGTGGCGTCACCTAAACCAATGTGGCAGCTTGATTAAATAAATCAGGGGTAGATATATCAGATACTGTGCTGTAATTGTTTCACTAATTCCACGAATAAAGTAACTATATAAAACACTGTTTACGAAATGTTCACAGAATTGTGAGGTTGGTGTTATATATCTTGAAGTTTCTCCATATGTTTCTTCCAAGGTTTCTGAATGTCGATGCTTATATGAATGTACCTCCTATGAAAATACTGTCAACCTTTCATAGAACGTATACCATCACCTTGTCTCATCCAGTCTCATCTTCCTTATCAATTATTTTCTCTGCATACAATTGAAAAGAAGTGCAAGGTACAGTTTACGGTATCCTTATGCATCTGCATAGACACATTTCTAAAAAAAACATGTGTACTCATTTTACCGTGGCAGTACACAATTGGTACACCTAATATTTTTGCAAGGTGTACACAAAGAAAAAAATCACTATCTAGAAATTACTTAATCAATTAATAATTTTCCCTTTTTGCCAAGATACAAATTTTGTAAAGCTGAAAGATGTTCGTGATACTATTCTTATGCGCACACAGCTGATAAAATTCTTGTGCATTCATAAGTAAATGTTGAAGAATATCGATTTAAAATGTCTAATTAGCAATCTGTATTATAAACTGAAATGCCCACATAGTGAAACAGTTTTTTAAAAAAAAAAGTTTATATGTATTTTAAGTTGTACAAAATTTGTTTAGTTCATATCAAATTTTCAGTTAAAATGGTATTACTGTTAAGATTGTTGATATTTTTTTATCGTATTAACTTTTTCAGTCTGTTGTATTTCATCAGAAAATGGAAAATAGCGATAGTACTCGGCCGATAATATGTATTGCAACTTCGGTCTCTATTTGTTGGCCAATATTGAAGCCACGATGGTAGAGTATACAACGTTATCAAACATTCCAACAATCTCGAAAAGAAAGATTACGGGTATTTGAATATTTATGGTTTGCCGACAAAATCCAACAAGTAGGACATATCATGTTCATTTGTATCACTATTGAGTAATGTTAAAGTAGATAAACGACTGTAAGTTTGCAAACAGACCGGTATTTACTGCATACATGAATAGGCTTTACGCGAACAGTAACATGTAGAAAGTCATAATTTTTTGGGTTTTCACTACAGCATTGACTTCACTGTGATCAATTTCACCACTACTCTAATAAGTCCATTCTCCGTCCACTGCGAGATCCCGCCTTATGCGTGAAATCGAACGTGAAACAGAACAAACAAAGGTCGAAGTGTCGTAATGGTGTCAAAACATCGCGTTGGATTCGAAAAATACGCAATTATTTTAGGTATATTCCCATGCTCAAGAATGTGCTATACAGAGACAGCTGAAGTAAAGGTATCCCAGCGCCATATTCCCATATGAAAAATTCGACATTGAGCTATAAACAACCAATAATATTACTTCAATATTGCTGTTTTTGTCACAGGAAATAATATGAGGTTGTTACGAGGATACTCCAAAGTATGCACGAAGTCAGTACAGCGGCAGTATCACGCAGCGGAGGTCGATGCGACGGAGTGCTGTCTACCTCTTAACTTTATTACTATACATCTTTTCCTTCCAATCATGGGAATGCTGAAAGTCTAGAACAGAATCAG